ATTTCAGTGGAGAATCAGAGTCTGGTTCCTGAACTGAGAGACCAAGGGCCAGCTCAGCCCCAGCACTGAGCTCCCGGTTTTTCACAGGGCATGGCATCACCTCACTCCATGTACAGGCTGGAGCTCAGCATCTATTTCGGGTTTAACAGAACGGTGTTTATGCCTCAACACTGGTTCCTTTGTGCACTCAGGGTTTTAAATCTGCTGTCCTAGAGGAAATGGAAGTTCTGAAGCCCTGCATACTTCCCAGGATGGTTCATTTCCCTGGTCCTCTCACCCACTGCAGCCGAAGGTTACAGGTTTGCATTCCACAGATTCCAGAGCACCAAAGTGGATGCTGCACATCGATGTGATTTTGAGCACAGAAGCCTCCTGTTTGCCTCCTCTTTTTCATGAATACCATCAGGCTTGGCTGTGTTGGGCTGAGTTCTAACTAGGTTTACTGACCTGGGTTAAAATATGGTTTTAAATAAAGTTTAGAAAGTGCTGTTGATTTGTTTGAAACAGGAACAGTGTGGCAGCTCCAGCCAGCAGTTTGTGAAGTGAAGCAGGGCCAGATCTGTAGTGGAGATAGTACCTTTTATTAGGCCAGCTGCTGTTGGGGAAACAGATGCGTATTTAGATACACAAGTATTGCAAGGCTGAAATAGAAGTAGGCAACTTGAAGTTAAATACACACTAAGAACAGTTATTCTGATTCAATCATGAACTTAATTATACAAACCAGTTAATTTGAGGGGGGGGTGCTGGTGCCTGTGTACTGCAGTGACAGAGATAAGTGATCCAGGTCACACGTTTATCCATGTGGAACATTTGTCTGTGTCTGGCTGCTGCTGTTGATGGGATGGTGCTGCCAGTGCCCAAGGAGTGATCTGCATTAAAAATAAATTTAAAAAATTAGTGACCTAATTTCCACCATGGGCTCACAGGTACCTAAGGGATTGCTGAGACTTCCCACAAGGGTGGGAATTTCCTGAGCTTTTTGAGTACCAAAGCCAACATGACATTTATGTATCTAAAGTCTGTTGATTTCAGTATTCAGAAAAATTTGGTGTTTTCATGTTGTAAGTTGCCACAGGTCAGGATATGGAGGTTAAAGGTGGGGTGGTAGTTTTGTGGTGCTAAAAATTACTTCTGTTGTAAAATGATGTGACTAAGTGAGAAACTGAATGTGAGCAGCTCTGTGAGTTTCGTTCAGTGACTCTTCCAAAAGATTATTGTAGGTACCATGTTTCAAACCCAATGATTTGAGGTGCAGCAGAAGGTGAATAAGGAGCTAAACTTGGTGTACATGAAGTAGGCAGGTCACGTGAGGAATATTTTTCAGTTCTGTTCTAGTTTCTTTTCAATTTACAGTTTCATTACATTATAACATTACATTTATAGAGTACAGTTTCTTCTTTATGGTTTCTAAGCACAGAAACTTGACACATGTTTAATGCCAAAATAGTGAATGTGACTTGGTAACTGTTGCTAAAACTTGTTTTTCGGGAGCCTTGAAACAGCGAGAATGAGCTGAGTTACCCTGAACTGCTTAAAGGTCAGGTCTCTGTCAGTACTCCTGGGAGTAAAAAAAAAACCAACTAATTTTCAACTAAATTGTACAAAGTCTTTGGTACAATAGCACTTCCCTTCACACTGCTTTTGGCTAATAGTGGACAAAATTCTCCTTGCTCTGGAGGTCCTGTAGTGCTCATGTTTGAATTCTCACCTTCTCCAAGGATCTGCGCTTTGGTGGTGAATCCCCACACATCTCCAGGGCAGGGATGCGCTCTGGAAAAAACATTCTCTTAAACTGCAAATGTCTGTTCAATACAGCCCATTAAATATGGGCTAAAGTGTCCCACTGGGAATATCTTTAAAACTTGTGAAAGTGTCTTTAAATTTCATTGTGTTTTCCTAGAGCTTAGAAATACTCCATGAGTTGTGGGCAAGGTGTGTGTGCCTCGGGATTGTGGGGAGGAGGAGGAAAAGCTTCTGTCTCTGTGATACCATCCCTGATCCCTGCTTGGAGAATCCCTAATGGTTTGTGGCTCAAAGATGAACAACTTTGCCAGCTTCAACCCACTTATCACTTAGTTTAGGTGTGCACCTTGCTCTCCCCACCCCAGCCCTTGCAAAGGAACAGGTATATTTAGTTCTGGATTTTGGTTCTGTAATCACTCCTGGATCTGCCACCCTGCACTTTATGGTCCAACAGCTCTGTCAGGGACTGGCTGATAATGGGAAATCAGACGTGCCAAAATGTCATTTCAAAATGGTGATGGGACAGAAATGTTGGACTGGGGGTGAAACTGTAACACTGCAACCCTTTCCCCTCTTTAGTCACTGGGAGTGCAGCTGTAAAAATGCCCTGTGCCACTGAGAGGTTGCCAGAGAGAGTTGATCCATTTTATAACCTGGCTGCTCTAGCACACTCAGCTTTTCATGTGGAGCATATTTTCAAATTGTTTAAATTATCTTCTAAAAATATTTGATGTTTTTACTTCCTCATTAACTGTAAGGAACTGACATTGTTTGCCCTGCTCAGCCCACCCCTTTGGATTTTCCCAAAAATGCTCCTTGTCCACACTGAGGCCTGGTTAGGAGCCACTTGTTTAAATGGTGGTGTCAATGCAATGAGGGGGAAAGTCATTTTACAGAAGTGATTTGACAGAGCAATATCCCACATTCATGGCAGGAACGCTGCTCCTTAATAAATTTAAATCAGTTTATTGCACATCACTGACTTCCACTATTTTATTTTGAATTCTGTAACCAGATCAAGGTCAAGGAAGCAAAAGATGAAAGGAGAAGGAGAAAGGAAGCCAGAGGAGGGGAGAGGCTGCAGGAGGGGGGAAGCAAGACAAGGAATGGTTCAGAGCAGGGCAACAGAGTAAAGCTCTCACTTAGGGACTGAGGGATGAGCATTTCTCACTCAGCTGAACAGAAAAATGGATTATTCTGGGCCTACAGGAACTGGGAGGATTGCTCTTGATTTTCTCCTTGTTCGTAATGATGTATTGGTACTGTTTCTAAATACCAGATTGTTCTGTGGATAGTCCTTGTGAATGTTTTATTCCTTTTGTAGCCAGTTGCTGAGCAGAAGCACTTCTGGACTTCTGATGTGCCAAGGAACTGCTGCAGCGCCTGGGATTTCAGAAGGAAGGGTATCCCAAGGCCATTTTAGAATATGCTGTTACAAGCTTTTACTGTAGTGTTTTGGTCTGAGATCAATGGAATATGCTTTTCATTTGATTCATGCTGGAGAACAAACAGTCTGGATGTTCAGATGCCTCTTGAGGTCGATCCATTTTCTTTCAGTGAAGGGAGTGTTTTGCTTGTGCTTAACTTCTTCCTCTGCACTAGTGTGAAATCTCATTTTAAACTCAAATGGCCCTTACGGTTTCTCCCAGACTTTATATTGTCAAGTGTTAGTTAATCTATTCTCTCGAATAGTTCTTTTTCCTCTGTCTGAAAGGGTTTGAGTATCAAAAGTGAAACCCCAGCTACAAGAAGCAGCCAAGTGTAAATGTGTGTAGAACAAGGTAGGCTCTGACAGCTGCCATTTCAATATGTGACATTTGGAGTAAGTTGTTCCAAACTTGCTCTTTGTAGCTGAGAATCTCCACATGAGCAACTTGTAAGTGTGATATGCTTTTGTGTATGTGGAAAGGAAAGAAGGATGATGTGAAGAAGCTGCTGACTCCAGGAACTAATCAGATCCAATTATGTTGTTGTTTAACCCAATGATATTTCTATATCGTGGTAATTGTGTGAACCATGTGGAACACGGAAACCCTTCATGGAAGCTTGGGGGGTGGAGAGTGGGGGACTTAAGAAGGTGAAACACGGTGGGTTGTGTTTCGTTTACAGTGAAATAATTCAGAAGAGTTTGGAGAAAACCCAGGAACTGATTTTCTTGGTGGCCACAGCAGTTCCAGTTCCATCCCAGGGGATGTCTGGGCATGTGGCATCTTGCTTGGCACTGTCTTTCCCCTGTGTACTGCAGAGGGAGTGAGTGGTGGATCAGCTTCACCCTCCTCAAATCAGAGTCATTTAGTTTTTAGAGGCTGCTGCAGCCCTAAAATTTGCAACCAGTGTGGGTCACACCTCCCATTCTTGCACAAAACACAAGCATTTGTCCCCACATGAAGAGAACCCAAAGAAGAGAGGTTTTTATTGTCAGAAGAAAAAAGTTGCCCTCCTTGTATTATTTGTCACACATATAAAATCAATATATATGTATTTGATTGAGACTTAAACTTTCCTTCGAGGTTTCTAATGCATTGTGTTTCTGAAGGAATTTTCAATAAGTCCTCACCCTAGTCCAAAACTGTTTATTAAAAGCAGCTTTAGGCAATCGGTACCTGCACTGCAGCAGGAAAGCAGAGCTATTGGCAGCTGTTGTTTTATGTTTACCAGCTTGAACTCTGGCCTCTGGAAATTCACGTTGTAGTTTCTCTAAAGCTTTTCTGGAATTAAATACCATCTCTGGGAGATTTACTTGCTCCTGCACACTTGTAAGTTGACCCAAGCTGACGTCTTTTCCACTTAAAAGAAACATTCAACACTCTGTCAGGTTTAAGAACTGTAAGCAAGAGTTTCCTGGGCCCAGAAGATAAAAATACAGGTTTCTACCCACTGTTAGTTAAAAAAAAATGCTTTTGTTTTAGTATTGCAAACATTTCTTTGAAGTGTGTTGGGTATTTGGTTTTGAGTGGGCAGTAGCAGAAATATAGCAGATTATATAGGGTTATTTATTATATATGTATAGAGAGATAGATATAGGGAGATATATATAGAGATATATAGGAATAGACTACAAATAATTTGATCCATGTTTATGAAAATTGCAAGTAAGTAATTGCATTTCTGTAGAATTAGTCCCTTGCACAACCTGGATCCTAGAAAAAACTGATCTGAAAGAATTTGGTTGAATTTTCTTCTTACAGAGTCTTATAAAGCCACTTGACTTCCGCTTTCTGACACAAAAATGACAGTTTTCCTCTTTGTTCCAGGACACCTGTGATCTCTTGTATGTGGGAAGAACACTGGGAGAACCATCTAAAAATGGGTGTTAAAACATTCACTCATAACTCCCCTGCTCACAGTCAGGAGATGCTGGGGAAGCTGAACATGCTCCGCAACGATGGGCACTTCTGTGATATCACCATCCGTGTCCAGGACAAGATCTTCAGGGCGCACAAGGTGGTCCTGGCGGCCTGCAGCGACTTCTTCCGCTCCAAACTTGTGGGCCAAGCAGAGGACGAGAGCAAGAGCGTGTTGGACCTGCACCATGTGACTGTGACCGGGTTCATCCCACTGCTGGAATACGCTTACACGGCAACGCTGTCTATCAACACGGAGAACATCATTGATGTGCTGGCTGCAGCCAGCTACATGCAGATGTTCAGCGTGGCCAGCACGTGCTCCGAGTTCATGAAGTCCAGCATTTTGTGGAACACGCCCAACAGCCAGCAGGAGAAGGTGCTGGATGCAGGGCAGGAGAACAGTGCAAACTGCAATTTCACCTCCCGCGACGGCAGCCTTTCCCCCGTCTCCTCCGAGTGCAGCGTGGTGGAGAGAACCATCCCTGTGTGCCGGGAGTCACGGAGGAAGCGCAAAAGCTACATCGTTATGTCTCCTGAGAGCCCCCTCAAGTGCAACACACAAACCAGCTCCCCCCAAGTGCTCAATCCCTCAACTTCCTACCCGGAGTCCAGAAACCAGCCCGTAGACTCATCCTTAGCTTTTCCCTGGACTTTTCCTTTTGGAATTGATCGAAGACTTCAGTCGGAAAAGGTGAAGCAGGCGGAGAACTCACGGACTTTGGAAATGCCTGGGCCCTCCGAGTCCAACCGGAGAATGGCGGATTACGTGACTTGTGAGAGCACCAAAGCCAGTTCTCCCCTGGTGATCGAGGAGGATGTGCGAGTCAAGGTGGAAAGGCTGAGCGACGAGGAGGTGCACGAGGAGGTGTCACAGCCCGTGAGCGCTTCCCAGAGCTCCCTGAGCGATCAGCAGACAGTCCCAGGGAGCGAGCAAGTGCAGGAGGATCTCCTGATCAGCCCACAGTCTTCATCCATAGGTACGACCATTTCTGGCCTTAGGTATGAGTACGTACAGAGAAGCCTGTAATAGGCACGTGTGCACTTGGAATTTTACTGGAGGAAACCTGCCTTGTGAGTTTTTATGCTTTGATTCAGAGAAACGGCCTTTTTTCCCTGTTTCATGAAATGTTACTTATAATCTTGGAGTTCTTTAAATAACTTTGCAGAAGGCAGCTGAGAAAGGTAAGCCCTCCTCATTCAGCAGAGGTTGATAACTCCATTTTACCTCTAGTTGCCTGACTGAGGGAACTAATTCTGCTTTCATTAGTGTCAAAAAGACACTGATCTCAGCTGAGCTGCAGCACCAGATCTGAAAGGTTTGTGCCTGTAGCCATAAAGGGTTACCACAGGACTTTGCATCAGGCATCAAATCTTGTATAATCGTGACAGAGAGCCTTTGTAAGAGGATTTGCAAAATAAGTGGTGAAACCCTGTTATCTTAATGCCCCAGACAAAAATAAAACCACACAGTCATAATATTGAGAATCTTTCCATTTTTGGGGGATTTGATTCTCAAGTTGCTTCTTCAAATGCTGCCAGTTGCTGAGAGAATCCTTTTTTTTCCATGAAAGACAATTTGAAACCAGTTTTGGCTTCTTCTAGCAGGCTGTTTTTTATTAGTAGCTAATACTTAAAGGTTACTGGAACAATCCCTTTTTTCCTCTGCTCACAGAATGCATTGAATGGCTTTTAGGAAGTCAGAAGGTAAGAGGGTTTGCAATGTTTCTAATTTAATTACCAAAATTTTACCTAAGTCAGCTATTTTATTCTCAGTTAAGTGGCTTGACCTGTGCTCGGTAGAGTTTTTTTGCTGAAGTATCTTTAATAAAGCCTGTTTTGTTTGCAGACTGCTCTGCTTCATTCAAATAATATGTACATGAAAGGCTGCTCCAGTTAATTAAATAAATAAACTACAGCAAGGTAAATAAATGTAGCCTGGCAGCATTATTTGTTTGGTTTTGGTCAGTGTAACAATTGCCTTCTCTGGAGAAAGTGAGATCAGTCTGACCCTTCCAGGATTGCAATACAGTAAGTGCTGTTAAATATTCAGGTAATACTCACTAAAAAGAAATGAAAATATTTCCTACTTATGCCATCCTTTGCTGTTGAATTGTTCCCCAGTTTGTGTAGCTCATACGTTGTTATTTTAGATTGTAATGCTTTTTCCAGCTGAAAATGTTTTATTTACTGGAGACAGGGCTGTTTACCTTTGCTTAGTTTCTGTCTTATAGTTTATAAATCTTTAAATGTAGTTTGCGAAAATAGTGGATAAATTAAAAATATATTTTTTAAAAAAGCTTTCTTTGCTGATGGTTTGCCAGGAAAAGTGGTCCTTGTTCAAGAACAGGTTTTGTTTGATTCAGTTTGTAACTCATTATAGTCAGAACTTCAGAAAGGTCTTGTCGGGGCCATGTGATAAGACATGCAAATTATCTCATCAGCATAATTGTATCAGCACAGGCAAAATAGAACAAGTAAAAATAATGATTAGGGAAAGTTAAAAATACCATATCAGTGATACTTATTTATACATTTATGACATATATCATACCCAGACAGCTTAAAAGGACAAATTGGGTGTATACTCAGGATTACAGATGAGTAGTAAATAACCTGTAGAAGTTTTTGGAGGGCATCTCTCAGAAGTGTCAGAAAAATTGTATTTCAAAAGCAGCTTGAATTGGGAAATGGAAATATGAGACTGGGGCTGAACTGGAGAGAGTTAGGTGCCACTGAATGCTATGAAATCTCAACTTCTAGCACAATCAGTGTTAAACAAAAAATACTTTGAAAAGTAGTAGGTAGGGTAGGGAATCTCAGGCCTTAATGGTTATAATATTAAACTTAAATCTGTCACTGGTGTTAGTACCGCATGTTCTGCCTTAAAACAGCTGCAGAGAGAAGAAAAATGTGCCAGGGCAAAATCTTTAAAGTACAAATCTGCTCTTTGAATATGTTTGAATGAATATTTAGTGGCCTTTGCATAATAACCATAATGGTTTTTAGTCACGTTTTTGCTCTAAAGAGAAACAGCGCTCTTCCTTTTTAACACAGTAGACATGTACCTAATATGTGATACAGCACACTTGGTACCCAGAAGGCACTTTTTACCTCCCAAAGATGTCTTTCTTCATGCAGTAATGTAAGAATAATAAGTGGAGGCAGCAAGATATGTTAAAGTACAGCTTTCTCTTTCCTGAATGTATTTTCCTGGTATAATTGCATATATTTATCTCAGTGTTTTATAGTGCATTTATAAAAGCATTCCTGCCTCTCTCTCTGATATTGCAAAAAGCTCTTATTCACTCTTTGGGCAATTTCAAGAATTGTTCATTTGCCATTTATTATATTTAGAAGCACTTTATAATATGAAAGGAGACATGGAGCAGGGCCTTGATAAATAAGTTATTATGGTTACAATAATAGCTGTATCTGAGAAGATGTTTTCATAACTCATTAGCACTATTGGCATTTGAGAGGTGAAGACATAAAATTAAACCTAAGAGCAGTTGGGCTTATTTTTCAGTAGACTTCAAGTTAAGTATTTCATGAGAAAGAAGGATAAATCAAAATGGGATTAACTTTTGTAACTTTATAGATTGCACAGTTGATGAATTTCCCAAATATAGGTTGTCGGCTCTTAACAAAATTAAAAATTTTGATTTGTAAAACTTCCAGAGATGCCATTTTCCTCCTGTCACTGACCCCAGAACATGGCATCACATTAAGACAAGAATCTTTCACTTCAGGAAAGATCTTTCATTCTTTTTGACAGAATATGCACATTTTCTGCCTCACTTTCCATGTCTTTGTTCCTTCTCTTTGGTTTTCCATTCGGTCTACACTTGCCATTGTAAACCCAATGCTACTTGATTTTTCCTAGTGAGCTTTAGGGTTCCCAAATTCAGGTTGCTCACATATCACTCTCTTAGGAAGCAGAATTATTTTTACCACAGCAGCAAGAGCATCTCCCACCACTGTCCTAAACTTTGCTTGTTCTCAAGATGGTGGTGTAGGGAGAGAAATCTCCTTTCCCATCTTGTCTCCTATGCATTCAGTGGTAGAGATCCAGGGACCGTTTGGCCAAACTCCTGGTGGTGATGAGGGAGGCCCAGCTGAGCAACAGCCATATGAGATGAATGAAGTTGTGGTTTTGTTTTAGTGCTTCTTTTCCCTTGGATTCTGTTCCCAGACTCCTTGAACTACATTTTCTCAAATGTTGGTGCATTGAACAGAGCTCTGGAGTGATTTCTCTTACAAACAGGTCTTTGGTCTCTTTTGTGTTGCATTTCTAATTTCTCAGAGGGTTCTTCCTGTCTCAGTGGCTTATCATTAAATGAAGGCATTATCAATTGATATATTTATGGAATATTTGGATCCCTAAAAAGCCATGTAGTGTAGCAGGTTTGAAGTCTTTATTGCTCAAGAAGTCTTGAATATTGCTGAAGTAGTCTCTTTAGGTGAATGTAACTTTTCTGTTTCACAGTTCTAGTACTGGATGGGTTTTGAAAAATGGCTGTATTTAACATTTCCATTTTCTAGGTGTGCCAAATATGTGTCCTTTGTTGAGTTGTCAGTTTAGTAGCTAATGTGAGTAGAGGAGAAGCTGACTGGGAACAGGATTCAGTGTTCTAAATGACTTTCCCAAGGCAGTTTCATTCTATTATCACCAGTAGCATCTATCAGAGATTGGGAAAGCAAGCTTGCTGTGTATTTCCATGCCCCCCGTCCCTTTTTGAACAGGTATTTGCATTAACTTGCCCTTTTCTCTCCTAGGCTCCATAGATGAGGGAGTTACGGAGGGGTTGCCCACGCTTCAAAGCACCTCTGGCACCAACGCTCACGCAGACGATGACGATCGGTATGTACCAACCCGGGGTGCAGTGTCCTGCACAAGTGCTGGGCTGTAATTACCCCTCACACCCTTAATTCCACAATGTTTGGTTGTTCCTACATCTAATTCTCTGTGTAGCTCAGAGTACAATCAGCTTCTGGAAGGGTAGATGCTTTAGGAGAATGTAGATGATGAAAGTCAGAATTTGCTTTTCATTTCCTCTCTATCTCCAGGAGGCACTGGTGAAGAAAGATATTCATGGCTTTGCTGTTTCTTCATCACTGTTCTTTATTAATAAATTCAGAAAAACCCCTTTACTGTGAAACATGCATACTAAAGCTGCCACACAGCCCCAAAAGCAGCAAACTGAAAACAAGGACGTGGTCCTGACTTCACTAGACGTCACTACTGCCATAAACCACATAACAGCCTTAAATCTCCTCTCCCAAACTCTCTGCCTGTAGCTTCTTACCAAAATGCTGTATGTCACTTGCTGTAAATATTTGGCAGCCTTTGCTGTGTTGAGCTGAGTGATTTATTAAGGGAATCCCTTATAAGGAAAGGCTGGTGGAGAAAACCAATCTAAAACAGGTCTGTTGGGTCAAAGATATATCATAATTCTGTTAGAGCCAAGTGATGGCATACAGGAGTACACACAACTGCTTTGACATCTATTTCTTAGTTATGCCCTTCCTAAGCACATTTTTTCAAACTGGCTTTTGCAGTGTTTTGTCAGATAACTGGGTCTGTGGAAGAAGTGTGAACCTTTGGGAGTGTTCCAGAAATTGTGTCAAGTGAAGCTCCCTACAGAGATAACAACCAAGAGCCTCATTTTCATAGCTCATAAAAATCTTTCCTGCCATTTTCATCTAAAACCTGTCCCATTGTAGGATTAAAAAGGGAAAATAACTGCTTAGATAAGACTTTTTTGTATGACATGGAAGATTTTATCTATCTGCTAACTGGATTATTTCAACACTGGTTTATTTTAGAAATTTCATATAAAATTGCACAGTTGCAAGTGCAAACTACCTTGAAAATCCAGAGATATAAAATTCTTTAAACGCACTGAAAATTCTCACTGAAAGATCTCTTCCATGCAGAGGAGGAAAGAGTATTTTCCTTAGTTTATGCCCAAATTTGAAAATAATTATTCTCAGAATGACAGAAGCATCAACAAAATGAACTAGAATTTGCACCTTGTTTATAAAACAATTGAACTGACAGCTACAGGAATTTCAGACTCCATAACAAAGATTTTCTACCAAGTGATTTGTTTTGTAAATTCAAATGAAAGTGCCAAGACTGTGCTTATTCCAAGATGGAGAAAATCTCCCTCAATTTTGGTTTTGATTTTTTTTTTAATACACCTTTAGTTTAAGTCCAGGTTGTACATTTCTTTACTAATAGAGATTCTCAAAATGTCAAAATCAGTTGTGAGTGGCCAATGCAAATTTATATTGAAAAATATAATTTATATAATTATATTCCTAAAATAAAGCAATAGACTAGTCCATTTAAAATTCTAAATATTACATCCTTACCGCTGTGGAAAGAATCATAAATATTTCAAAATCTAAAATGTCTTATCTCTTGTTTCTCTCTTAAATAATTAACATCATTAACTGGGCCTCCTCCATAATCAGTGTTTCATAAACACCAGGTCACGTGTAATTGCCAGCTTGATAGGCACACAGGAATCTGTTAAGTATTAAAATTACTGTTTCACAGTGAAGTCTGATCTATTCTTTCTCTGATATTTCACATTTGGATTGTAAATCACTTTCTAACATAGATGTGTAATTCAGCTGATTTAACAGTTGGTCTCTGTATCAGTTCGTGGCTCTATTTAAAAGGAGTTGCAAAGGCTCAGTTATGAAAGGTTTCCGATCCAATAAAATGAGAACCCCCACATTTCTATAATAATTGTTATTTACAAATAGAGAACATTTCGAGGCTCACTGAGCATTTTGGCATTCACATTTTTCTGAGTTTAGTTCTACATAATTAAATATGTGTGTAATCTCTTGGTGGAAAGAAGAAAAAATTGCAAGCGAAATATTTCAGTGAAAACATTTGAAACCTATGTTTTTCTGTAGCTAATACAGAAATTCTCAGAGATGTCAGACAAATCTCAACTGTTAAATGCCACATCTATGACAAGTCATGAAAAATTGAGTATTTGTGGAAAAGAAGCAGGGGAGAGAAAATCTGGGTGTGTTTCCAATATCATCTCTAAGCTATGTCACCAGTAGGTATTTCGTCTTGCTTGCAGTATGAGCATGGGAAAGACAAGCCTGTCACTGGTAGCTGGAGAGCCTCGTGATTCCCATTGGATCTGCTTTAACCAGCCCCCCTCATCAGGTTTTATAGAGAAGAAAACCAAACTGTAATTTAAATTTCTTTTAGGCAGTTGTGCCCATTGCACTTCTCCTTCAATGGCAGAGAAGGTGGCACCAGTATAGGCCTTGAGGGTGAGAGAGCCTGACAAAGCTGGAAACAAAAAGAGAGCTGTGGCTCCTCATTTCTGCCCTAGTTTGAGTGTCTCCTGAGAGAGCTTGCAGGAGCACAATGTGCTTTTGCCTCCTCACAGTGCCCTAATGCAGGAATGAGGGAGGAAGGACCTCAGGAACATGTCACAAAACCCAAGTGTAATTCTTATTTGAGCACACTACCTGTGTGTCTGTTCTTTATCCAATGATCTGTTCACAAAGAGGAACAGGAGTGCCGGAGTTGGTCAGAAATTCAGTTAGAAAAATCAGAATGTATATTTATATTTATTTCAAAATCCCTCAGCTGGCTTTTTTAGCTCTCAAAGTGGCAGTGAGCTACGTTCTGCCAGGCCCAGGACATGAGCTGGTGACTTCCCTCTTGCAAGTATTCCCTTTATCAGAGAGCAACAAGTCTGTCAGCATCTCTTTTTTCCATCAGCTCTCTGTGTATAAAAAGAAGTGAAGAACGATAAAATTTCTTCTACAGAGCAAATATTATTCCAGTTCCATATGAGACCAGAAATCCTTATGGGTTTAACAGACTGAGTGATACTAAACTCCTGCAGGAAATTGCTTCATTTTGTGTACCTGGTGTTATAGTCTCCAGATAAATTTTGCTTCTGAGACCCATCACTGCCCTCCGACAGATAGCCCCTGTCCTCACAGTTGAATTGACATCCATTTTCAGAGTAGATAAAGACAATTTAGGTATTGATTTTAAAGAGATGCTCCTGGTTCTTGTCTTCCTGTGCTGATCTGCTCTGTGGAGTTCTGTGTGATATGTAGGGAAATGTATTTGTGCAAAGTGCACATTTCATTCCTCTGAATGTTAGAAGTCCACAAATCCAGCCTGACCCGGAAACCAGCCCTCTGGGCTCGAGGTGCAAGGATTCCCTCAGTTAGGGAGACTTTCTGACTGTGACAGGAGACACCATTGTACTCTTTTCTAAGGACATTTTAGCCGCTATGGTTTGGTAAAGCTAAAATTGCAGTGTTCTGGCCACAGAATGAATGTTCCGGGTCAGAGCAGTTCCCTGCTGCCAGTGATGTCTGATCTTCCTGTAAGCTCTGAGCAAGCTGAAATATCTATTTTAGCAAAAAATATAGACCTTAATGCTCAGGGAATGGAAACCCCAGGTAAGTATAAATTGTCATTGTTCCTCTGTTTGTACCAGCAGATTTGTTTTTATTTCACTGTGCCCTTTAGCAAGTTCCTTGCCAGAGGACTTGGATTAGCAAGGGAATTGTAGTTCTCTTAAACAGTTTCCAGCTAGAGGCTATGTAGGAGCAATTAGTCAGTTTTAAATAAATTACTTTGAAAGTTAAATTGTTCCTATTACAGCCTGTGTGCTGTTTTTTAAACACAGCGCTAGAGCTGTTTGAATCAGACAAGGAGCAAGTATTGATTCATGAGATTAATATTTTAAACTCAGAAATATGTAATTGTAGATACTAATATTTGTTCATGGAACTTGGATTGAAATGAAAAATGAATTGGCTGCAATTTCATTTGTAAATACCACTGAAGCTGCAAAATACTCCTTTGCTTTCAATTTGCTCAGCTCTTTAAACTCTTCCTCAGGGACTGTTTGCTGATTGCAAGTCATCGATACGCCTGAGAAAATGCCCACGCCTGGAAAATAAAGTTCAGTTTGCAGCTGTGCTCAGGCCTGTTGCCCAAAGAAAACACAAGTCAGAGGCTGTTCCCCGGGTTTGTTCAGATGTGCAGAGTCAGTGACTGTAGGATTTCAGGTGTAGGTCAGACACTGCTGTAGAGACAGAAATTTCCAGCATAAAGAGAGATTTCAAATGTGATGTACCAGTCTCTTCTCCTCATACAAATGTGCTCAAGGTTCAGATTTCCATGGTTATTTCTCTGGCATGCCTGTAAATCAGTGCCTTTTTTCTTTGTAGTCTGGAGAACGTTCAGTATCCCTACCAACTCTACATTGCTCCTTCCACCAGCAGCACAGAGAGGCCCAGCCCCAACGGTCCCGACAGACCCTTTCAGTGTCCCACCTGCGGGGTCCGCTTCACTCGCATTCAGAACCTAAAACAACACATGCTTATCCACTCAGGTGAGAAATTCCCAGCAATTCCTCGTTTATAGCCTCGCTGTGCAACAAATGTAATAATGCAAGTTTTTTACTCACCTCCTTGAGAGCTGATTTCAGCAAGACTGAGTAGAGATATGTCTAGTTGAATGCTTGTTTTGATCCATGGAGTCTGACTGATAGCTCTGCTCAGGGATGATTAGCATTTGTGCGGATCTGATTGCCTGAAACTCATCAGGTAAGGCATTTTCATGATAAAGATTTGAGATGAAATAAAGTATACTTGGCTTTTTTATTATACGAAAGAAGTGATGTAGGTTGAAATTCTTCCTCTGACGTGTTGTAATTGTCTGCTGTGTTTTAGAGGAGACTTGCAGCCGTAAGAAAATATTATCTGTCCTTGCATTGAAGAAAGTTATGTGCCTTTGTATCTCTGGGTTTTTGGAGGGATTGCAGGACAACTGAATTGGTTTGCTAATCAATTTAGCTCCTGCAGATAGTACAGAGGTTTGTGTGAACACCTCCTCTGAGCCTTGACCCCCAAATTGATGCATTCATTTTGATTTGTAACCAAGCTTGAAATCTCAGTGTCTTTGCTATTGGTGTTTTCAAGACTTGTCAGCATTATCTGACAGTAGCATTGACATTTGAATGAATAAAGGGAATATTGAAGAGTTTTTCCTCTTGGGCACTAAACCTCATGGTTTAGCATCTCCTGCTTTGAGCCTGACTCTTACCTGCACACAGAGGATGTACCATTTTGGGGCAGAGCAACAACTGTCAAGGTATAATTTTTTCCCTGTCAGCAATTATTTGTCAAATCCCTTCAAGCAAGATGACCATATATATGTTTAATATTAAAAAAGCAAACTCTGTGGGCGTATCACATGTGAAATTATCCAAATCCTGTTGTTAAAAATCTGACAGCAAAGCATCTCTGGCCAACGTGTCAACTGGGAACCCCTGGGCAAAGTTGGGAGAGATTTTTACTGTTTTAGAGTAATTAACATGCAAAAGAAACTCTCAAAGCTTGTAAATGTTGGAAGTGTTTTCTCATGAGCAAAATGACTGAAGAGATTTTCCTCAAACTACCAGAGGAAATAGATGCCCTTGGACAGTAGGAGAGCGTGAAAAGTTTGAGCTCCACCAGCCCATATTCTGGTGTATTAACTTGTTTTCACATGCTTAACGGGGCATTTCAGTGTAACCTTAACTACAGCTTTCTCTGTCTAAAAGCCCCAATTAAAAGTTCAGCTCCTGCTTTGAACATAAGGAAAGCAGAGTGAAAGACCTGGGAAATAACAGCCTGGGCTGATGCGCATTGAGCCTTTTGAAAAAACCTTTTTTATTCCTTGACAGCCCTATTATGAATAGAGCTCCATATTGCAGATTCTTGGCCTCATGTTTGGATTTCCCCACTTTCTGGAGTTCAGACTTTTTATTAAATCTGAAGTTTTTGGTGGTTCAGACCATTATGTTGTAATACTTCTGTTTGGGTGTGATTGCACACTCAGCCACTGCAGCATGTTGCAGAGCTTGTATGTTTTAGGGTAAGAAATGAAAAATGAACTAGTAACTGAATTTCTAAATTAATACAAGAAAAAAAAAAGAGGGGCATGAAGCTAAATTGTCTTAGAGAGCTGTCTGTCATGCAAAGTTGCTGAAAATGCTTGTATAGCAAGGTTCCCACGCGATATAAAAGCTGTTGCTTCCCCCTTTTATCACCATTCTTGCTGCATTACAGGGGCATCCGTGTGCACACAGTCTGCCTGCCAGAACACTTCTCTGAGGCCAAAGGCAGCCAGAGAAAAACATTGCAATTAATTAAGGTTAGGCTGATAATTGCATTGTTGGGAACCAGTCTGGCACAAGAGTCTCCTGAGATCAAAGGAGTTCAAAGGTGGTTTGAGATGACGGCAGCATCAGATCCATGTTGGCTGTGCCTCAGGATCTTAACCGTGTGCTCAGTTTAAACCGTGGGGACAGAGACTATGGAGGTCACAGTTAGGAAATGGAGAAAGTTAGGTTGGAGAACCCTGTAGAGGGTTGTCCACCTAAAGATGGTCTGAATTGCCATTTGGAGCCAGTTGTAGCACTCTCTAAACAGAGATCGATGTTGCTCTGGGCTGGGCTCCTTAATTCCTGTTTTTCTAGGTTGTTTCAAGTGCAGCTCCATCCTCATTGTTCCTGCCATTTTCAAGTTAACCAGGGAATCTCTTTCCAAAACAGGGCTTCTCTGAGAGCTGCTGTAGAATTCCTGAAGGATTTTGCCTGTGCCCTGTGGTTCCAGAAGGTGACATGTCTGTGCTCTCTCTCCCACAGGCATTAAACCCTTTCAGTGTGACCGCTGTGGGAAAAAGTTCACCCGCGCTTACTCGCTCAAGATGCATCGCCTGAAGCACGAAGGTAAACGCTGTTTCCGCTGCCAGATATGTAGTGCCACTTTCACTTCCTTCGGGGAATATAAACACCACATGCGGGTTTCCCGGCACATTATCCGCAAGCCTCGGATTTACGAGTGCAAAACATGTGGCGCCATGTTCACCAACTCTGGAAATTTAATCGTTCACCTGAGGAGCTTGAACCATGAAGCGTCAGAGCTAGCAAACTACTTCCAGAGCAGGTGAGGTGCACAGCAAAAACCTAACAGGGAAACTTGCTTTTTTTTTTTTCCCCTTTTTTTCTCCTTTATTCCCCCCCCCCAAATCATCATTTCCTGCTTTCAGGGCAGCCTGCTGTGCCTCTCCTCAGGTTGCCAGCTAATTCCAGTCAGATTGATTCCTGCACCACTCTCGGTTGTGTCTGATCTGTCTTACAGCATGTGAGTTCTATAGGAGGGCACTGAAGAACCCAGGGATATGCAGAGGCTGCTTCTGAGCTACTTAATTTCTCTTTTCAATAGTATCTATGGCCAGGCTAATGGTGTGAAGCCATAGTGTTCTATACTACAGCATCCATGGAGTTCTGTAAATAATTTTCTATTTAAAATCTTGTACGTAGCCTGTTCGCTTACATAGGGCACAGATTTATTACTTCATTGTAAGTACTTGCTTGATATTGTGGAAAGATTGTATGACTCTGTACCCTCTTTCATCTTCTAGGTAACATTACTAAATTATTAGACCAATAGGGTTGGCAATACTAAGGACCACTTGAACATTTTCTATCAGGGCACAAAAGACTGGGCATATCTCACAAATGCACTTTGCTAAAGACTGTGAAAAGGGTTCTGAGGCATCAGACCAGCACTGTATTCTCTTATTGATATAAATATATTAGTTGAGATTTGAGCTATAAAATACAAAAGTTGGATGAGGAAAATTGAAGACAGAAAGGTCTCCCAGCTCTTAAACCTATAGAGAGTTGGTCACCTATAGAGTTTCACTCTACAGAGAGAGTGCAGCTTGGTGTGCGTAAGTCATCTGCCTTCAGCAGTGCAAAAGAAGTATATTCTAAAAGTTACAGCATCACAGTCCCACCCCTCCTGATTTCCAGACATTATTCTTTTTCCCCTACAGAACATTTCAGTATTTTGTTCTGTTTGATTAACTCAGAGGTGACGTAGGATGAAAACATTGCAAAAAAACCAGGAAAGCCAGTTAATGTTTTTTCCAGCAGAATATTGTGTAAAAGTACAAGTGCTTCATATCTGTGGGTTTACGCAGTTCTTGTTCTTGGCTCTCGGGCCAAAACTGGAGCGAAAACTCTGGTTGTGGTAAGCACTGCATTGTCAAATTAAAGTCAGATTAAAGGGTATGATTTTAGCTGCCTATAGCCCTTCCTTCAGTTTGAATTGACAAACACCAGTTTAGCATGGTTGATTGTGAGTTCGAGTTGAAGCAGTGAATGCTGCTGTCATTTAAGGACTGCTTTTAATTCGATTATTGCCAGGAGGAACCAAAGCATACAAACCTGCATATATGTAATATATATATGTTTGTCTCAAGTACAGACTTCATGTCTGGTGTTGAAAATGTGCAAAAAAATTTTATTTTCCATATGTCCTCGTGCCATGAAAATACTACTGGAGAGTTTGGTAGGTTTTCTTTGGATCCACTCAGCCCTCAGCTGGTAAAAGTACATTACAGAAGTGTTGTCTTAGGAGTGAAAGGGGAAAGAGAGGCAATTACGTGCTTTTCCTGGCACTGTGATGTGTTGGCATCACAACCTCCCACTGCAGCTCTATCTTCAGCAGAGCCCTTGCTGCTTCCAGCCTGTCCGCTCCAAAGGGAATGCTGCTGCTGGTCTAGGGTGAATTTACCTCTGAGGTGGGAAAGGCCCACATTTTCCCACTGCTGAACTCATTTTTGCTTCTATTTTTAAAGGCTGAGTGTTCCCTTTCTTCAGTGAGGTTTTCAGTGCCATGTGATGTTCCAGACATTAACTTTCATTCTCATCAAGGTGATACAATCTGAGTAACAAGAAGTTGCTGTGTAGGAAATACAGGTCAGGTGCAAAATAGATGCCATTGAATAAATTCTCTGTGTGTAGAAATGAGAAGCAGGTTATAGTGCTTGGGGGAGTGTGTCACTGCCATGTTCTTGCAGCAGTGTGAAATGAGCATCTTTGTTCTCAGTGTGTAGCTTGTACGATGTAACTGATACAAAGAAACTGATACTGCTGATGTTTGTGTGAGAAATGACATTTCTCTTCTGTCCTTTGCCCCTCTTCTAGTGACTTCCTAGTACCGGACTACTTAAACCAGGAGCAAGAGGAGACCCTCGGGCAGTATGAGCTAGGGGAGCATGGCTTTGAAAGCAACTCTTCTGTCCAAATGCCTGTCATTTCACAGGTGTCGTCAACTCAGAATTGTGAAAGCACTTTCCCCTTGGGGTCTCTGGGTGGGTTGGCAGAAAAGGAAGAAGATGTGCCAGAGCAGCCAAAGACTAACGCCACTGCTGAGGCAGCTGCAGGTGACCCTCCCAAATCGGAGCTGTCATCCATCACTATTGAATAATTCATGGCTTGGTTTCACTTTTGTTCTTTGGAAAGTGCCTGTGTTTGGTCCTGTACATTTTAATTTAATATTTTTAAACAAAAAAAATGGGGAGATTTTCCCCTTTTTACTTTGTAAGCTACGCTTTAAACAGGAAACTGCGACAGATGTTTCATTATTTTTCATGACTGAATGATCACTTCTGTGAAAATATTTAAGACTGATTGCACAAAAAAAGATCTTGTCAGAACATCATGGAAGCTGTGATACACTTCTAAAGAAGAACAACTGATTCAGATCACTTTAACTATTCCTTCTTCCACAGTTAGAGCAGCTCATTAAGTTTCTCTTGCTTCTGCAGACCCTCTGGTTAAGGGCAAGAAATCAGAGGAAACCTTTTTCAAATGACAAACAAAAGGATGCACTGGAAATCATGATTGAACAGTTTTGAGTGTATGCTTTAATCTTGTGCATAAAAAAATGACACTTCCTATCTGCGCCTGCTGGTTTTCAAAGCTCTCACTGTGCCCCTGTGCTTGGCAATGGTGAGTAGTTTTGAAACTTAACAGTCACAGACTTCTTCAAAACACATTGTCCCTTCCCATCTCAGATTAATCAGTTTTCACAAACCAAGTGAATCGTGCCAGGTGTTCCTACTTCTTCTATTCCAGTCCTTTTAGAAACTACTTGATCAAATAGCCTGTCCAGATCTGCCCAGCCAAGGTTAGTGGAAAATGGTGCATCAGGAATTGGGGATCATGGAAGAGGTTGTATCCATGCAAGCCTGACAGATATCTCCTGACTGGATCTGTAGATGGGGAACCACGTAGGAAAATGAAGGTTTTCCCAGATTATTTGCAGTTCTGATCACTTCCTCTCCCATATACACTGTATTTTTACTAATCTGAAAGCTAAGTAGAGGGAGTTTACAGATGGCAAAAAATTAACTCTTTTGTGCATTATTGCACATTTTTTTGTTTCTACATATGCATGTATAGTTTCAGAGACTTTTATTAGCCTGTTTTGGACAAAACAAGCAATTTATTCTCTTTAAGGCCAACTTTCTAACCAACAGGGAGTTATTTACAAAAAGCCTATATAGCAATGATGAATTGTTCCTGTTTCAAAACACTTTCAATCCTTGCCAACTCAGTTTATTAAAGGCCATTACTCCAGCTACACACACAGCCCAAGCAAAGCAATAAATTGAAAGATTTGCAATTTCATTTTTCCATATTTAGAAAAAGCTGGAAATTCAAGGTGTGGGATTTTCAGAGCAGTGAGTCTTGTTTTGTCAAGGCTGTTTGGACTCCAGTACTGCTTTGAAACCTAAATTAGGAAGTCCATTAGGAGATTTGTGGTTTTTCTTAGAGCTTCTGAAGTTCACTCAGTGTTTGATGCCCAATGCCCATGGCCTACAGATGACGTGCTGAGCGAGTAAGTATTGCTTGATCTTAGTATTCCAGAGGCATGAAATACTCCCTTAGTTTTAAGTCTTATTTTTTGGAAATTGTTGTTTTCTGTCCAGATTTGTTTTATGCAAACACAAGGAGGAAATGAAACCAGTAGAGAAAGGTTACTCCTGAAGAAACACAAGACACAAAAGTCGTATTAATTGCAGATCAATTTGTATTCAGGCAGCTTAGGCAGCTCTGATACTCTCTGGGTCCGAGTTCTTTCTATTAATAGCCAACTTTTGTGAGGAAAAAAGTTTATTGACTTTTGGAAAGAGCTTAAAGGGTTTCAGTGACTTTAGCAATTTTTCTCTGCTGTGTTTTAGTTAAAACCCACATATTTTACTTAAATAGAGCGAAAGCCATTGGGATTTAAGTACTTTCCGAGTTGCTGGAATGAAGTTTCTCCCCCAGATAAAGGGTGTTTTAGAAACATGCTGCAAAGTTCCGTGCTGCAATTCAGTCTCGTGTGTCTACCTTTGTGAGGCTTCTCAAAAGGGCTTGAAGGAGAAATGCTTTTGCTGGGCAGCTGTCCTGGGAATTAGCCCAGTCCTGGTGATGGGCTGAATTTAAAGACCATTTCTCTTCCACTTCTGATTTCTGTAACTGAGAAGCCAGTGAGACGAGACAATGCCTTTTGCTGAGCTTTATCCTGAATTACAGGGCTATGACACTGAACTCAAATACAGAATTTGCTTCTTTTTCTGACAAGTATTATGCAGGTAACTGAGAATCCTTTGTGATTCTGAAAAGTGCTTCACCAGAACCACATTTCTTAACTGCACAGATGTAACAATCAAAGGTGGTCAGATATAAGGTGGTGGATATTACCTTCTGTTAGAATCTGATCGTTTGCACCCATTAAGTATTTTGGTAATGAGTTCATTGGGGAAGAGGTGAGCAAATACACAAATGACATATCTGGATATTGGATTATTTTTAAGACTTAAAATGTTGAGTCAGAAGGCAAAGTGCTTTCTGAATCCCAAAGAGAAGGGGAAAAGTCACAAGCTTTTGTAGCTCTAATCTGTTCTTCCTTGGAAAGAAATGAGGATCATTAACCCTGTGGTATAAGGCAAGGCCTGGGTTTCATTGTTATTGCACTTGGTGTTACATATGATCTTCTCAACCCCCTGATCTCTGGGTAACATCTTCATTTAGTTCTCACTTCTCTGTCTGGTTCAACTGGAGGAACAATAGAGTTCTTGGAGGATTTTGCTTGGTTGGCTTAGAGTTGAGTTTACATGTTAATTATTCCGTTTGTAATTGTTTCTTCTTAATATTTCTTTTCTCCATAGAAATGAACACAGTTTAAATGCAAATACCGTTTTATTTCTCTTCCCTAACTTGTTGGAAGTGTTCAGTTCTTTGAAATGCTGGTGTTCTTCACAAGAGAGGTGTAAAAACATAGGACATCTTAAAACAATCTCTGTTGCTACTGTGGTTAGATTCCAAATAGAGCGAGAGGGATACCTAACTAAGCGAGAAAAAACTTGCCTTAAACTACACTTGGGATTAAACCTAAAGCATCAATTTCTTTTAGTACATTATCAGAGTGTTTTGAACTCTGGACTGCATTTTCTTTTGTCTTCTTTCTTTTCCTCCCCCAAACGAATCCATTATTTCTGCTTGACAAGGGGCCCGGGAAATTGGGATTGGAAGGCGCCCTGGAGGTGATGTAGTTCAGCCTCCTGCTCAAAGCAGAGTCAGCCAGGAGTGGTGTTTGAGCTGGAGTTCAGTTGTCAGGCTCACAGAGACCATGGGCAAGTCTCTCATACTGAGAGATCAGTAGACTCAGTTCTTGAAAATGGTTCTGAGTTCACGTGGATCTTGAGTCTTAAACTTTTTAAAAAAGAAATAGCTGCCAATGCAGTCAGATATATTTTATAAGACTATGATCCCTATATGTCCTTTGCAGGATAAGATTTTATTGTTTTTAAGCTATGGTTTAAAGTTTTTATATGAGGGCTTCAGTCACTTCTTGGTTGCTGGTTCCCCCTCGAGCCCAGGATGTGAGAGCTCTGAGACAGTGCTGGTCTCTCTCTGAGACAAACCAGGAAGCATTTTATATGCAAAATAAGCTTTGTGCACCCTGCAGGGATGGAGAGAATGCAGATGGAGGAGCACCTGCTGCTCCTACATCCACCACAACTTCCCCACCATCAGAGTATGGAAAATAGCTAATTTTCATGCAGCTCAATTATGTTGGAGTTTTACTTACTAGGTGAAATGAAGTTTTGGAGGGTTCTCATCTCCAGTTACAGACATAATAAATCCCATTGCATCTTGATGACAGATAAGAGGGTTCAAGGCCGGACAGTACCTCGGCCCTATCAGAGGTGCCTGGTGAATACAGTGGGTTTCAAGTATTTGAGGAAATGTACCATAAAAAAAACACAAATGTGAATTATTTTAATGCAACAGTAGTTACTGCTCTGGGTTTTTGTTAACTCAGCGTGTGCTATCACAGGTACTCAGTGTCCCACAGGTCTCAGCTACAAATCTGGTTGCACTAATTAGAAAAAAGCAGAATCTGGTGCTGCCAGCCTGTGTGGCAACTGTTCCTACAGTCTTCCTGAGGGTTGCTGCAGTCCCCAGAAAGTGATTTTGGTTCACCATTCGTTCAGCTGATGCATGCTTTGATATTCTACCCTGTAACCCTGGCTTCACCAACTCCTTGGACAGCTTCTTTGCCCTGTTCCTGCAGTGCCTTCACTCCAGGTGCTGCCCTGTGGTGAAACCCTGAAGAGGGAAAAGAGGACAAAAATGTGAATTAAATTATTGTTGGGCTTCTTTGTGCATTTTAGTACCAGTGAAACCCCTTTAACTGTGCCAGTCTCCAGTCACCAGCCGTATATCCAGTCATCTCATCCACAGTACAGCTTCTCTTGTTGATGCTGGTCACAGCTTGATTACTTGGCATGTTTATTGACCTAACAGACTTGGTTTTTGGGTTTTGGTTTTGTTTTTTAATGTATACGATGTTTAAATACACTTCACATTTTATATAATACTATCTGGCTATTAGTATTTTTCAGGAACCATAGTTCTTGGTGGCTATATATATTTTTGTGACTTTTTTTGTAAACTAAGTGCCGTTTCAACGTTACAATCATTTTTAGAGTTATTGTAATCAATGTGAATATCATGTTTTTTCAAATCTGTTCTGAGCCTGTAGTGTTTGCTTTGTGATCATATGTGTAATGTATATATTCTGTATAGTTACATTGTATTGAAATACTAGCTTGTTTGATATAAGAAAAGTATGTATTGGGTACCTTTTTGCTAGCCTGGTTGTTTAATCTTTAAAAAAAAATGTTCCAAAATACAAAAAAAAAAATAAATCTCCAAACTGGTCCCATTATAGGTCAAAATTAAGGGGGAAGAAAAACTAGTTTTGAGTGTCTTTGGATAGAAACATGAAGCTGAGATTTTTCATTAAAATATTAATGTTTTATGGAGTATATCTTTGCTTCGTGTCATTCTTTAACTCTGCCAGAGTTTGTCTTGCAGTACAAGAGAGTAGTTTGGACCTTCAGTTAGAAGGTGCAACTCTGTCACTTGAACTAAATTCTCTTACACCTTTTGGTTAGAATTAGTCCCAAAATAGCTGATTGTGAGGTAAACTTGCTGGTGTTGAAGCTGCCACTGGGAGGAAGGTAGTTTGAAACACAATTAACATTAATAAATTATAAGAGAAGTTAGATGAGTAAAGAGTATTAAGAATAAAGTCCACATTTCTGTTTCCTTTCCAATATGTATTACATTGCCTTCTGCTCATATTCCCTTTTAGGCTGAGCTCTGCAAAAGCCAGCTTTGCATGGGGTGTTACCAATGGAAAGCCAAGAAGGAGCCTAATCAAATTAGCCAGAGCAGAAGATGTTTAGAAGGATAGTAGACACTCATCGTGGTGGCATCCGTGAGCTTCAAAACAGTCCTGAAACAGCCCAGAGTCGTGGGACTTAGAATCCACCTCTGCTGTTCCTGCAACTCTTGCAATTAAATTAATTTGCCTCCTACAGACCCACCTGGAATCCCTGCTGGATCAGCATTCAGGAAAATGGGAGGTTTGCCACTGCTTGGCTGAAGGGATAACTCTGCCCTGCACCAGGTGAATGCCAAGCAAGCTGAGTGATCAATACACCAGCAGCCAAACTGTGAGGGCTTTGGAGAGGATGAAGTGTGAGAGGTAAAGGCTTGTTGGGTCTCCCATAAAAAGAAGAATTTTGGTGCTTTGAAGCCAGCCCCAGTTTCGAGTGTGCAGTGATGCTTAGCAGAGCATCCCAAATTAAAGATTAAATTCCAAATGAAAGCCTGGCTGAGTGTGGATGAACACACCATCCCAGAGCTGAGCCAGGGCACACCTTGGATGGATGGTGAGGTCTGGGCTGGTGACTCCAGTGGGTTTTTCCAAAGCATAGCCACATGTTTAAGTTTAGTGTGAAACATGTTTTAGCCATCCTGGACAAAGCAAGTTGACATTAGTGAAGCTTTTTCTGTGGCTTCCTCAGAGCGTTTAAGCATTTTATTCCTGACAGTAATGAAGGAGTATTTGTTGAGCACAGCTGAGCTGAGACTGAACTCAGATACCGAGAATGTGGTGGAGCAGGGACCAGAGTTCTCCCAGGGTTTCCTGCACCATTCCCAGGAAAATGAAGCTGCTACGAGAAACCTGGCTAAAGCATAAAGTGCTTTTCACAATCATTTCCAGAGTAGTGAGTAAACTGTCATCACCACTGTTAGAGCAGAGATTGCTGTGAGACCTGGGCAAGCAGAGGAGGGGAAAGTGTGTCCATGTTAGAGCCTTGCTTACAGCCCAGAGACCTGGGGTTCAGTCACTGGGGGGGGTTGGGATCTGTTAACACTGGTTTTTCAGAGGAGAGGGACTCTTAAATAGCAGTTTTAGCAACAGTAACCCCCGATTTCCTCAGCTGCCTTTCACAAATCCTTGAGAGACAGGCCACAACCACCCAGAGTGAGATCCCTGTGTTTGGAAACCACTCTGAGGGCTTGAGTTAATTGCCTTTGAGCAGGAGCTGCCTTTGTCTCAGTCACAAGGTCTCAGGTGAAGATAAGAGAGCAACTCACGGGGCATCTGTTTGTGGGGCATCTGTTTGTGTATCTCTTGAGCCGTTATCTCTCATTGTTGAAGTCTGAACTCTCCAAATTTTGGAATGAAAGACTTCAACAGTTAAGCTTTGCTTAACTGTTAATTTGAGTGGCTGTGCTGCTATCACTGACTCTTACTCATTCCAAACACTACTGGTTGCATTTCTGTGGGAGTATCTTTAGGAATACATCCACTGCATCTGGATAAACTGTATTCCCAATCTTCCATATTCCTGCAGAAACCTAGGTGCTCTGAAATCTATGTTTTGTAAAGCTCCCATCATTCAGAAGGTAACAGTTTTTCTCACCCAGTACTGCCTGTTACCCTGAACACGCACACTCGATCTGTATGTGCTCATCCAGAAGGAATTTCAAACAACTAACATACAAAAACATCCATTGACCAACTCTTTCCTTGCTGCTTCCCTTCAGGAGCAGCTGGTATTTTGGTTAATTCTCAGCTGAAACCTCCAGCAAGAACCTTGCTTTGTTCCTTTTTAGCCCTTACAAACTGCTCTTGAGTTTGGAGTGGAAAGGAGAGACGTGATTTCTCATCTCTAAAGCTTCTCCACAGGGAGGTAGGACTGATGGACAAGATATTAATAGTAAGGAGCAGATCTATTTTGTGGTCTTGAGAGGTTTTGGTTTTTTGGAGGGAGGGATGGTACTTCAGTATATTTTTCTCTTCAGTTTTTTCTTCATGTAGACTCTGACATTGCCGACACTATTTCTAAGAAAAAAAACAATGTCAACCACAAACAGATTGCTCTCAAGTATGAAGGAACATCAAAAAGTATGGGCAGTATTCATTTATGCCAAAAAAAGTACCATCCTTAATTATTTGTTGGCTTAAAGCATTTCTGAGTATACCTATGGCATTTGTGCCTCTGGAAAGACTGAAAACTAACGGTAAAATGAATCACCTGAATTCTTTGGAGGCAAGGAAGGAGAAGTTTCCCTCCCGGGTGAGTACTGCTCTGAGTCAAAAGGGATAAGCAATGTTGGAGAGGAGCAAGGACACCAGGATGTTTGTGAGTGGTGAAGGAGCTGACTCTCAATTCCAGGTACATTTTTGTGTGTTTGAGTGCAGAGACACAAGGAGAAATGATCACACAGGGTTTGCTATTCCATCGCTACAGGGTAACAGTCCACTGGCTTCAGAAGAACAAGGTAAATTGCAATCCCAGGCTGCCGAAGCATTTTAACAGTCTTCAGAAATTTAAATTGCTCCTTAAGAGCTTACCCATTTTGTAAACTTTTCATTTGCCAGTAGCTTCTCTGACTCAGCACAGTGTATTTTATAGCCTGTGTATTAATGGGGTGCACAGGACTGGTTTTGGAGAGTTTCTGCACATAAACAGACCCTTGTGCTGTGTAAAACAAAACTGTAGAGAAAAGACACCAAAGCACAAGACTAATGGACAACAGAGCTCAGAAAACCAAAACATCTCTCCAGGGCAGGACTTCATCTTCCCACAGTTTCAACAAGAAAAATCACAGAAATCCTAACAAACCCTTTTATATAACTTCAGTGTGGCAGTGATCGGGTTCAGGGCTGACGTGACAGCAATTCTAAACAACAGTTATGCAACTGCCTCGTTGATTGAATTGAAATTAATATGGAGAAAAGAAGGAGCCAAACAGAAAGAAATGGCTTTGGGTTGAATTGTTATGCCTGAAAGAAGTAAAAATATTGCTCAGGTCAGCCTCTTTTTCAAAAGTGAGCCTGAGTCCCAGCTGAAAAATCTCCTTGAAGAGCAGACAGTGAATCGCTCTTAAAAATTCTCTTTGTGCTAGAGGCAGAATTATGTTTATCTTCTAAGGCTTTTACAGCTCGTTTTTTTAATCTGACAGCTAATTCAGTATTTTAATTTCTCTCAAGTTCCTTTAAAACTCCTTTGTAATGACAATTTAACAGTGTATCACTGGGTATTGTGATTCCAGTGTCGCTGATTCACACCGTGGAGGAGAAGGCCCACGTACACGTGTCCATCCACATCATTCCCTCCGCTCTCCATCTGGCAGGCGTGGGGATGTTTCGAGTGGAGCTGGAGGCAGCATCTGGCATCCTGGAGAGGAATGCTTCCTTAGGGTGAATGCTGTTTGGGAGGGCCTGGATTCATGTAAGGGAAACCTGGAGAATCCTTAGTCTTGCTGTGCTGGCACAGCCCAAGCCCCGCCTGGATCGACAGGAGATGTGCCCAGCTCATTCCCTGGGATCTCTAGGATGAGGCAGGATGTAATTACTGCTCATACAGTAATGGTTTTGTGCAGACATGAGCTAAGCTCCTGGAATTAATTTGCCATTGTGAGGTAGGTGTATCAAACCATGCCAGGGTGGATCTCTTAAGGATTGCTGAGGCTTTTCTGCTTCTCCAGGATTGGAAGATTCCCTTAGAAGGTTCCCTGCCCATTGCAGGGGGTTGGAACTAGATCATCTTAAAGGTCGCTTCCAAGCCATCCTGTGAAACTCTGGATTTCTCCTATTGATTCAGGGAATAACACATCCAGGGAGAGATGGGGGGTAGGAATTAAACCCTCTGTTTCCTTGCTCCTTCTTACCTTTTTCACCCTCAGTATTAGGAATCAGAGGAGTCTCAATTGCTTCCAGAGAGAGAGGAGGAAGCAGATTTTGGAGGCTCCTACACAGGATGGGTTTGCTACATACACATCCCACTGACGTGTCCTAGTGTGAGTCATCCAGGGAATTCACTACCCTGGATGCAACAGGGTCAGGCAGAAAAGTGCCAAAGGAAACCATCAGAATAGAAAACACTGACTATTCATCCACAATGCTCAGCTGCCATGAGCCTTTGTGCTGGATCCACACCAGGTTTGCCACGAGTAGATGTTGGACAGGGGCTTTATCCCCAGTATTCTTGTTGTTGAGGGGGAAAAAAGGTGATATTGAAGCCACCTGCCTTGGCTGTTGAGTTCCCAAAGCCACTTGTTCACACTGATGTTTCCTGGGTGTTATATGTTGCCCTTGGTGTACTGTAGGTGACATTAAAAGTGCAGTTTCTGTACCTTTCTTGTTGTCCTTTCCTTTCCTGCTTGCTTCCTTCCACCTCTTGTTGTGGATTCTAAACCAACAAGGAAAAAGTGAAAGCTCACATGGCCTCTGACATCTCTCCAAGCCAGAAATAAAGCACTGGGAGGTTAAATTTGATGATTTGCTTTGCCTGCCCCTCTAGAGACATGAAAAGAATTAGAGTAGCTTGATGTATAGTGTGGCTGGGCAGCTCTGATGGGTGCTTTGTTCCAGTCTAGAGCAATCAAAGTGACATAAACCAGAGCCTTCCCTGCAGCTTTATGTAACCCTTTAAAATATGATGGATGTTTTGCAGCAGGAGAG